CATTTCTCTGTAATAAACTCTCTTTTCCAAAGATGAGTGATTTCTCGATCAGATAGATTTTTTTTTATCCCTTTGTTGTTTCAGCAACATTAAATTTAAAAACTGTACTTTTGGGTTAAAATATATATTTATAATTTTAATAAATGACGAATTAAAAAGGCATGAACATTTTTTTGCATTGAAAAAAATATCGAACTGTGACACCAAAGTGTCGAACCGAACCGTGAATTTTGTGTATCGTTGCACCCCTACTAAACACTTAAAGCTGTAAGCTAATGATAGTTATATAAGAGCAGATTCATGTTGGTGCAATAAGCTGTACGTTTTACGTCCAATGAATGCACGATCTGATTAGTCAACTAATCACAAAAATAATCAGTTACTAGTCGACTATCAAAATAATCATTTGTGGCAGCTCTAAAGGGCACTCAAATGATTGAAGCTGGAAGCCAACGAGTCTCTGGCTGAATATCTGGAACAAGCAGACAAACTCTGAAAACATCACACAGGTGTGCGGCCTGATACGAGCGAGGCAACCTTACTGTTGTGGAGAAATCAGTGCCAAGATCTGTACAAGACTCACTGGATGGGGTGGTCGACTTGAGTGCTATGACAGATTCGTTATGGAGAGAGCACTTGCAACATCATGTCAGGAGACATGGAGAGAAACCAGAGCAAAAGATTAAACAATTAACCAAAAGGTTGCTTAAACATCAGATGGAAGGAAAGGACTCAGAGTTTAACATGAACAAAACAAAAGCTAAACAAATGGTGGCTGCATCAGCTGACTTAAAAACAGAGATGCCTGTCGTGATGATGTAAAAGTAGAATGTAGAGTAGAACTGGTGATGAAACACTGCTGGAACCCATCATCCACCAGGAATGAGTCCAACTTATTGTTGCCAACATGGACCAAGTTCAGGGCAGCTGTACAGGGACTAACTGCCCTTTGACAATGGCAAAATAGCCAATAGTTCCAAAGCAAACTGAGCTACAGACATTTGACTATAGTTTCAGTCATGTGGTCAGTTTCTTTATGGATCAATGACCTGCTCCTCTGATCCTCCTGATAGGATCCTCCCTGAGACTGACTCACCTATTCTGTAGAGCTTTATTTCTGGTTTCCAGTTGACAGCCAACTGCCTTTGTTGATGGTTGATCTCTTCATTGTACTGGAAAAAAATTCTAATGTCTTCTGTGTCTTTTGGTTTGGTACAAAAAAAGTTATCAGAGCTGAGAGATGGAAGCTGATCACTGTCTGCTTCTGGTTCACTGTGCTCTCCTTCCTCAGCAGCAACAGTCATCATGAAGGTATCCGTCTCCTCCTTCAGTCCCAGCTGCTCTCCCTCCTGACTGCTGCACAGTTCCTCCTGTTCCTCTTTAATCTGTGGAGCTTCTGGTTCCTCCTGGTCACAGAGCTGCAGCTCAGGGAGAACCTCCTCCTCACAGACAGGCTGCGGTGGGACATCTGGAGGGATGAAAATAATAAAACAGATGTGATGATAAAAAAAAATGTACAAATCAGTAAATATCCTCTGCAACCATAAGCTTGTATGAGTAAAAAAAATGAAAAGGGGAATAAAGTCAACTACATGAAGATACTGTCACCTCTACATGTAACACATGCACAGATTTCTCTTAGCTTGGTCTTATATATAAATCTGATTCCTTAGCTAAAAAACCATCAAGAGGAAAAAGTTCAGACTTCAAAGCTTTAAAGGGTTTCAGCTGCTGTTTGAATGGAGCGCAGTGCAGTCCTGTCCTCTGTTTGCTCTTTGTTAGCTCACATCTCCAAAAAGTCCTCACAATCAGAAACGTCCCGCAGAGCTGTGATCAGGATCCTCCCTCAGAGGGACACTCACCTGTCCTGTGCAGCTTGATTTCGGGTTTCCAGGTGATATCCAGCAGTCTGCGCTGACGGTCGATCTCTTCCTCGTACTGGACGATCGTTTTTTCAAACTCCAAGAATATTTGTTCAGCAGCAGCAGTTAGTCGCTCGTTGATAAACTCTCTCAGATACTGAACTGAAGGCATTGTTGCTGCCACAGCTCACACACTCAGCTCACACACCACAACACACTCTGCTCAGTCACACAGGACGAAAGCTAACGGCATTAGCGCCTTTCCTTTGTTTACTTCCGCCTGGTGTCACGTGATAAAGCTCCGCCAGAGCGGGATTGCTAACGCACCTCCCTCTCTCTCTTATTAATGAATGTAAAGTATTACAGAGAGCTCGGTGAGTCTGTGCAAAGCCGCTAACACCACAGTGATGTGCTGACTTTTTCGATCCCACACTCTCGGCTCTGTTCACACACGCGCTTTCCTTTCTTTATTTCCGCTTGGTGTCACACGGTTGTTGTTCCGGCAGAGAGTATTGACCTTTAACTGTTCCGCTGTCGAAGATTTCTCTCTGTTTCAAATCAGTTTCCAGCTGAAATCAATGTTTTTCTACATACACGAAAAACAAAAAAATCACAAATATTATAAATTTAATTTGAAGTTTTCTGTTTTGAAATTATCTGAATGGTTTTCTTACATTGAACTTTACCATGACTCCTATCTTGAATCCACTGCCTCCTTAAACTGATTGACACCGCAGAATAATATGACATTTTTAAATCGTATTTTTAAAAAAGGAGTTACTGTTTGGATTTGGTGAGTTCAGAACAAAGAAACTGCTCCTCGGGTGTTAGCGGCTAGTGCCCGGCAGGTGCAGAGAGCTAGCTCAGCTACCTGCTAATCCACCACTACAACAAACACAGTTTGATTACATAGGAACTCACAAAGCATTTCCAGAATAAATTATGTGTTAGTTATTATTACGATTTGGCCATAAATTATTTTTTATTATATTCAGATCTTAAATATTTGGCCTTTTGTCTAATAAATCAGAAGTTCTGGTGCTCATACTTTCATATAGATGAGATGATGTGTTCTTTTCAATTTTAGTTTTGCTTTTAATTTCCTGTTCGACTTATGTCATGTGTATTTTTTCTCTAATCACAACCATAAGAGGTTCAAGGTTCAAGGTTCTTTATTTGTCACATCTATAAAAGTATAACACACAGTGAAATGTAACCTGACACGCTCCTCGACATGTGGAAAAATTGGGGGGGGGGTGAATATGCAGTAGTAGCAGCATTGCTCTTCTCGTGGGAGCTCAGTGATGAGAACATTTGGGTCGTTGTGCACACAGTGCAAAGTGCTCCCTCCTCCCTCCTCACAGTGATTCAAATGCTGCTAACAGTCTGTGAAGCAGGAGGAAGAGGAAGTGAGAGAAGTGAAGCTCAAAGAGGAGACAGAGGGCGACATCATCCAGTAGGCGGTGCTCTCCTTCTGCACTGTGTTCAACCATTGTGTCAATAATAAGTGCTGCTGTGAAGAGAACAATTCTCAGACTGAATGTTGAACA